GACGAGGTCAAGGAGAGCAAGGAGGGATGCACTACCCCCATCCCGCTCTCGCCAGAGATCATCCACAAGTGCGACCAATGCTGTTTCTGTCCCATAACCAGGCCTGAAACCTGACTGAAAGGGGTCCAGATAATCCATTTTCTCCAGGGTTCTCTGAAGCTGCCATGTGGCCACCTTTTCCACCACCTTTCCTAGAAGGGGAAGGTGGGAAACTGGACGAAAATTGTCCAGAAGGGTGGGATCTAGCAATGGTTTCTTGAGGAGGGGGTGGACCAAAGCCTCCTTGAAAGGCTTCGAGAACACCCCCTCCTGCAAGGATGAATTGACCACCGCCAGAACCCACCCTAAAGTCGCCTCCTTGGTGGCTTTAACCAACCAGGAGGACAAGGATCTAATGCACAGGTGGCCACACTAATAGCCCCGAGGACCCTGCCCACTTCCAACAGGATCAGACTCTTCCCAGATAACCAGGTAAGTCCACTCCCCGGGCATCTCCACTGGACCTGCATCATGCTTAGCCTCCAACTGGAAACAGATCCGAGTGATTTTATCCATCAGGCGTTAGGCAAATTCCTCTGCATGGCTCTGTAAATGGTCCTCCGAGCCCCCCTTATCCGGGAGGGACCAGGTGACCCAGAACAGGGCTGCTGGGCAACGCACTGTGGATGCAATAAGAGCAGAGAAATAATGGCGCTTCGCTGCCCTTACTGCCATGAGGTAGGCCTTAATAGTGGCTTTAACCCATGTTCGGTCAGACTGACCCTTAGTTTTCTGCCAACAGTGCTCAAGACGTCTCTCGGCCCTTTTCAGTACCCTTAACTCCTCCATAAACCATGGGGAGTGCCGGGGGCGATGGGTCAAGAGAGGACACACAAGTGCGATCCTGTCCAAGGCCTTGGCAGCCTCCTTGTTCCAGGCTGCAGCCAGGGCCTCCACTGGACCGTGCAGCAAGGCCTCAGGAACAACCCCCAGCTCCCTTTGGAACCCTTGCAGGTCCATCAGTCACTGGGAGCAGACCATTCAAATAGATCCTGCCTCCCTGTGGAGGGAGGCAGCATAGGAGAATCTCACGGCCACCAGGGAGTGGTCTGACCATGACAGTGGGGACAATACCAAATCCCTCACTGGATCATGCTGCCACTGTTCTGACAGGAAAACCATGTCTGGAGTGTGACCACTGTCCCAAGTTGGGCCATGGATGATGTGGGATAGGCCCATGGCCGCCATGGTAGCCATGAACTCCCGAGCCGCCTCCGAGGCCAACCCCAGGGATGGTAGATTAAAGTCCCCTAAGACCATAAGCCCGGGGAACTCCACTGCCAACCCCGAGATGGCCTCCAGCAGCTCAGGCAGGGAGGTTGCTACTCAGCAGGGAGGCTGGTACAGAAGCAACCCTCCCAACTGATCCCGTGTGCCCAACCTCAGGAACAGCATCTCACATCCAGCAACTTGTGGAGCAGAGCCCCTGAAGGCCAGCAGAGATTCATGGATGACCACTGCCACACCCCTTCCTCTGCCCTGGGATCTCGGCTGGCGCCAAACCCTAAACCTGGCTGGAAACATTTCCAAAAGGGCAACACCTCCTTCTGGTGTCAGGCAAGTCTCGATAATGCATGCCAGGTCAGCCTGCTCCTCCCCAATAAGGTCATGTATAAGGGGGCCTTATTATTGACTGACCTGGCATTCATCAACAGCAACCGAAAGCCTGGGCCTCTGTAGATCTGCTGACCAGGGTCTGGGCTTAAGTGCAGAAAGCCGGGACACGCCACCGGTATAAAACATGGGGGACGTCTTCCCCTGAAACAACCTGCCCTCTGGCTCCCGTCATAATGTCCCATGCCCGTCACCCCATGAATACCCACCCTGAATCGCCCAAGGTGATCCTCCACCCACCCTCCTGGTCTTTGGTCTAAGGGGCCTGCCATATCATAAACTGCTCAGACTAAAGGGGAATGGGGGGGGCGGAATGGGCTCTTTTAAAGATTAGGTTAAAGGTTAGGTTTTAGGTTAAAGATCTTGTGTGAACACAGCGACAGATGGGTCATGTTTAAAAATACAGGCTTTTCTTTATAAAATAATCTGGAAGTAGCTTTTGAGAATGTCCAGACAATGCACGAAGTCTAGCAAAGATTTTGAGAGAATTTGCAAAACCCTGCAAAGCAAGCCCAAATTACCAAACTAAGTTTCATGCAATAAATCAAAGAGTATTTTATCATTAACAGAAAGGAATGTTTTAACCCATGCTAAAAATTTGGCATAAGAAAACAGTCCTTTGATATGAAGCAAGCTAAGAAGAGGAAAGAACTGCCCACTTTTTGCAACACGTGGAAGATGGGAAAAAAGGACCCTCTCTCAGGGTGGGGGTGGGGGCTAGTTTCCTCTAACTCCAGCTGGGTGAGAGCTAGAGGGGATTGCTGGGAGGGGTGGATGAGCGGGAGGGCGGTGAGAATTGGTTGTTGTTTTGCTAGGACGGTGAGAAACGTACATGCAGCTGATAAGGTTTTTATTGTAGTCATTTTACACTCTTAGTGTCATCCAGCCCTGGGTGCCATGGGAGTGGCTAGGTAGCTTAGGAGATTAGAGATGGAGGGGAGGGTAACAGTATTAACTAGTAGGAGGAAGTATGGTGGGAGATGGGCAAGCAAGCCATTCCCAGGAAGTTGCAATCGGCAGCTTACTGCCATCTGGGTGCAAGCGCGGCATTCTCATTGCTGTCTCCCTCGTGGATGGGTTTTGTTCACTGCGTCGGCCTTGGCCCCCAGAGCAGGGGAGAAGGAGTGGCAGTTGTCTCCTGGGAGACCCTGGCAATCACAAGGAGCTATTCTGGAGGCGACCAGAAGTGAGGCGGGGCCAAAGGGACAAGTTGGGGGTGCCGCTACCGTCCTCCCAGCTGTATGTCAGCATCCATCCCAGCCTGCTTCAGATGAGACTGTTATGGGTTGGCTCAGTCTGTTAGTACCACTGTCTCTGGAATCAGAGACAACTTGAGAATTCATGGCCCCCAAGAGAACCAGGAGCTTCTCCCAAAGCATCACTGACTCAACCAAGGGAGCTGGCCACACAGTGGGTCTGGCCATGACCTTGGAGCAGATGAGACATGATCTGGTTATGGGGGAGGTTGTATCAATCCCTTGTCACAAACCAATTCGTTCCTTGTAACGATGGGATTAACTCAGGTACCAATCTCAGCAGAGAGGAAAGCTTGATAAAAAGGGCCCTTCCCAGGCACCTGATGGAGCCAAAGGGTTTGCCCAGCAATCTGGGGAGCAATTGGAAGCTGGAAGAGGATGCATTGAGGATGGCCACTCATGCCGTTTTCTGGATTAGTGTAACTGGATCTTCCTGGTGCTGCCCTGGAAGACCACCCAGAAACTTCAGCTGGTACAAAATGCAGCAGCCCACATTCTTACCAGCCCGTTGTCTTACAGCCATCCAGTTGTATTCCTATAGGAGCTGCCCTGGATATGAGTGTGACTTTGAATACAATTCAAGGTTAAAGGCCTCTTGTAGCTCAGGGCCTGAGGATTTCAGATACCACCTTTTCTGGGGAGTTGCTACCCACCCACCCAATCTGGATGGCCAGAGAACACCTGCCAGGATGTGCCAGGGGAAAGGGGCTGACATTGGTCATTCTCTGCAAGGGGCTCCTCTTCTATGGAACAGCCTCCTCCCCCCAAAGCAAGGATAGCCCCTACCTCATGGCCTTTCTGAATACAAAGCTTGTTTGGGGATGGATTGAGAAACCATTGGTGACATTGCTAGTTTTATTGTATTGTATTACTTTCATGCTAATAATTATTGTATTTTATTAGTAGTACCTGTACATGGATTGAGTAGAAGATAAATAACCTGAATAAATAAAAATAAATACTTAAGAGAGAATGGCATTCAGCCATCTATATTGAGTAAAATTTGATTTGGAACTGGGTGTCAGGTACCACCAAACACGCCCCATCCTCATTCAGTTTCTCCCCTCTTTTTGAAGTACTTCCATGAACTCATTGGTCTGTGATCCTGCCCTCCTGCATACTGCTGCTGTGGCTACTTAACAGTCTCTTTTCAAAGAATTTTCCTGTTTCTTCCAAAAGCTTATTGGGGTGGTTATTTGTGGTTGATGGCCTCCTGTCCCTAATCTGACTGGCTTGGTCTGAATGGCTAATCACAGACTTATCCTGCTCTTCAGGAGTTCCGGTTAGGCTGAGGTTTCACAGATGTGGGCAAGAGGATTTGGAATGGTTGGAGATGGCATCATGCTTTGCTAAGAGGAGAGCAAAAAAAAAAAAACACAACCCTCAGTGTGTATGTCTTCCTAGCTGCTAAATTCCCATAAATTTCAAGTAGCTTCCACGGCACCAAACCATAGGATTAAAAACTTCCAGTACATAAAATACCAGCCAGCGTACTATGACAGGGCTGTTCACAGGAATAAGCCAACCACCGCATCCCCAAATGCATGTCTATGTTTTGACGTCTCTTCTGGAGTCCAGTATGAGATAGGAGGACTGGATATCTGGGGTTATGCCATCCCATCCAAGGGGGACCAACCTGAGAAGGCTCAGCCCTGTGGGTGGCATTCCTCCAAAGAAGAGATCTTCAGCGAGCCCTATCCTTCTGATTCACTGGGTGGGCATATTCAATGCAGAGAAGGTGATCTGATAGTTTTCCAGGCCCAGAGCCTTGAAGGGCTTTAAATGTGACAGCCAGCACCTTGAATTGTGCCCAGTACAATACACCTCAAGGCGTCCTCTAGTGCCAAACCCCATGGCTACAAAGCAAGAGAGACATTTTTTCCCATTGCGGGGCTAAAATTAAAGTGAACGTAAGGGATGCTCTAGGTTACTACTGTGTGGAGACTGGTCTCCCCGCCGCTCGTTATCTTACACACTGTTTCCTGAGTGCTGTTATCTCCCACAGCTGCCACTGCCCCCTGCCACTCTCTTCTTTTTGTTTTCCAGGCACCTGAAGTGATCATGTCACAGCACTACGATGCTAAAGCTGACCTGTGGAGTATCGGGACGGTCATCTACCAGTGTCTGGTTGGAAAGCCGCCCTTTCAGGTAGGGGGCGGAGAATAGGGACACACTTAAGAGGAGTCTCATTGAAAATCAGTCCCCATCATCCCAAAGAGGGTGTTTCATGCGTAAATCCTTGCTGCATTTTTGGAGGCTCAAGTAAATCTTAAGAATAAGTGCTGAAAAGGGTTAGGAAATGGGGGGCTGACCTTGGGGTTACCTGCTTTTCTATCTCTCTGGAGTGATTTGTTCTATTCTTCCCTGAGATGGACTGTAATTTGCTGCTGCCAGGACGCAGTATCAGGACACTGCTAGTCATCCTTATTAACCACTTTTTACTTTCTAAACCAGGTATATGGTTGGGTTTGTACATCACTCTAAAGCAGTGTTTCTCAACCTTGGCAACTTGAAGACGTGGGGACTTCAACTCCCAGAATTCCCCAGCCAGGATATGCTGGCTAGGGAATTCTGGGAGTTGAAGTCCCCGTGTCTTCAAGTTGCCAAGGTCTAGCCAGCATATCCTGGCTGGGGAATTCTGGGAGTTGAAGTCCCCGTGTCTTCAAGTTGCCAAGGTCTAGCCAGCATATCCTGGCTGGGGAATTCTGGGAGTTGAAGTCCCCGTGTCTTCAAGTTGCCAAGGTTGAGAAACACTGTCCTACGGTAATCCTGAGTAATTTTGCAATGTCAAAACCAAGCCAACCACCATTTGGTTTTGAGCATTGGGTGAACCCAACCTAAAACCACTTAAATTATCCCATTTTTACAGGCAAATAGTCCTCAGGATCTGAGAATGTTTTATGAGAAGACCAGAAACCTCATCCCTAGGTAAGGTTTACCTCCACTAAATTGTAGTAGCTAATGCCAGTGCATTTATCTGTCCTAGCCTTGCCCCAGCCTGTGCCCGCCAGGTAGCAAGGGGATGACCTTGTATTCCAGCCCATCTAGATGGTGCCAAACTGGGGAAAAGCCACCACTGTAAATCTACTGCTTTTTCTTTGCTTCGCTTTTAGTATCCCCAGGGAAACGTCAGCTTACTTGTCCGATTTGCTTCTGAGCTTGCTTCAGAGAAACCAGAAAGACAGAATGGACTTTGGTGAGTAAAGATCTAGGATCCTTGGTCATTTCTGTAAAGCTCCACCTTCCTTTTTCTTTCCGATATGGAAGCAAACTGATCTGTATGCAATCCGGTTTACAATCCAAGTAGTGATCCATTCAGATGAGCAGGACAGTGGCTTTGACAGGACTGGTTCAAAACTGTAGAAGCCCAAGCCAATTTGTCATAGAAGTTTTGCTGGTTCCAGGAAAGGTGATAACTTTGTAGAATTGAGCGGCCAACACTGTGAAATGGGCCATCTCTGAGGCACCATTTCCTGTTTTATTTGTTAGAATTATATCCTGCCTTTCCTTCAGGAGCTCGTGGCACTCGTTGCAGCAATCCCTTCTCGCATTTTCCTCAAACAGGTATCTTGTGAGGTAGGTTGGGGCTGAGACAGACTGGCCCACAGTCACTCAGGGAGCTTCTGCAGCTAAAGTTGGATGTGGACCTGAATCTCCCCTGTCCAGCATTGTGAAGTTGTCTTATGCCTATATAGATTAAGTGGACAAGGCTGGTGTGATCATTCAAATGCCAGGGCCTGTGGAGAAGGTCTGCTGACTCTCAAGTGTAACGTTTTCCTACTTTGTAGGAAATGTACTTTGCCTTTTCTCTTTGTGTCTTCTTACATTTTCCCTAGGGTGCTCAGGCTGTGTCAATAGTCAGTCACCAGCCAAGGACTGGCTGACTTCTCAGGGCCCAAAGGCATTCTGGGAGAAAAGAGGTTGGTCAATCAGTAGGGCCATGCAGTGCTTCAGAATCCATTCAAAGGAGGTGCTTCCGGGTGCGCAGTTGTGGGAAGCAAACCTAGCCCCTGTCCGCAACTTCTGAAAGCAACTGTGTCTCTTCCCTGGCTCATGCAAGGCTGTCCTCCTTTGAAGCAGCTGCGGCTGCTTTAACGACTTTTAGACAGATGGCTGTGTTCACGCTTTGAAGGATCTGCCTGGAATCGGATCCAAAGCCCTGAAGGGCCATTGCATCCTCAGCTTTGGCTGGTGCTCTCTCTACAGCGCCTTCTGCCTATGCCATGTATAATGCAAAAAGGGACTCTTTCTGACAGCTGCCTCCCAAGTAGGTCAGGGGGAGAAAGGAAAGTGGAATGGCCAGCTTGTAGCGTAAGCCTTCCAGAAGCCACCTTGCCCAGTGCCACTCAGAACCCTGAAAATGAGTATCTGGTAGCAGCTGGGATTTTAAAAATAGAACCCGGGTTTCAAAAGGCTCTATTTGAAACAGAATGCGGCACTCTTAAGAAACCCAGAAGTAGAGTGAAACTAGTGATGGATTTGGTCCCCACATCCCTTCCCCCCCCAAAAAAAATCCACAGGAGGACAATTCTGAAAACAAGTTATATAGCAGAACCTTTCTCAGTGACTTCAGGCCTATTGTTTGGCACTGCAAACATCCTGATCCACCTGGCCGGATGGGTGTTTTAATATCTGGGCTAGGCTCTTTTAAACCATTTATTAAGTCTGGATTGACTTCCTGATGGCATCTCATTTTATTTTATCTTTCAATCCACAAGAGCTCTAATTGGCAGAGGCTGGCACTGAAAAGCCAATGCCGCAGAGTGGGCAATTTCCCCCTGGGTTTGCCCCTTTGGCTCAGCTGTTGGGTCAGTGCCCAGCGATGGTTGATGGAGCGCTTCCAGTTAGGAATGATAGGTGGTAAACAGCGCAAGATGCTTAGATAATCCTAGGTTTCTTAGAAATAGAGCCATGTCCAAGGTTCTGCTTTCTGTTTTAAGTAACATTTAAAGCAGGAATGAGCTGTATGCAACCTGTAAGTCATACCCATTGTGTTAATGATTAATAATAATAATTTTTAAAAAGCTAGAACAAGACCAGCTCTGAAAATAGCTTGTCGTGCTATTTATAGTCCTTGCGTCTAACGTCTTCCTTGGCTTCTGTGATTGTTGTCTGGGAAAGTTTCTGACGAAATTCTCATTCTGCCAACTTTTGATCAGTCACTGATCAGCTGATGCTGAGGAGACGCGAAAGAGAGCACAGAAGGAAAACAGTTGCTCTGATTTTACTTAATTGCCTACGGGGAATAATAGGTTTGTTTTTCCCTTTGCCCATATTTCAGTTTGCCTGGAATTTACTAGGCTTTGTTCTCTTGTTGAAAACAAGTTCCCTGAAAGACATGACGCCAAAAACAAAGGAAAAGAGTGGGGAGGGAAGAGAAAGAGAATTACATTTAGACTCTGCATTTTTTGTTCAGCCTTTGTCCAGAAATTGGAATGCATTTCTTTAAAGCCTTCGTACGTGTATGGGTGACAGAATTTTCCTCAAATTACTGAGATACGGAGTCAGGTCTAAAAAGGAATGTTAAGATTCCTCCTGAACATTTGCCCTCCGCTCCCTTGGCAGACAGCTTCCGTAACTCAAGAAAGATGCTTTCGACATGCATTGATTAAAGGCTTTCCGTGTGGCTGTAGGGCTTTTGCTACGGGGTCGGGGAAAGAAACACAACAACATTGCATCAGGAAAACTCTCTCTCTGCTCTCATGTCATCATGCTGCTTTGCCGTCGGGGTGGTGGCCTCTTGGGTTCCTGAGTGAAATGAAAAGGGTTTAGTCATTCTGGCCTGCATTTTAATTTTTCTGTTGGGAGTTTGTTGCTTTCTCGAAGAAGCACGCTTTCCTTTCTAATTTCCTGTTTTAAAAAGTTTTCCAGCCAGAATATCGTGTGTGACGTGCAAGATGTTCTGGATTCAAAATGAATGTTGAACTGGGTCATTTGTGGTCCAAATGTTCTATCATAGGGAAACAATGATTGCTAAGGATGAGGCTGTTCACATATCAGTACAAAACAGTGTTTCTCAACCTTGGCCACTTTAAGCTGTGTGGACTTCAGCTCCCAGAATTCCCCAGCCAGCAGCTATGCTGGCTGGGGAATTCTGGTAGTTGAAGTCCACACAGCTTAAAGTGGCCAAGGTTGAGAAACACAGATACGAAAGAATGGAGTGGAATTTCCAGTCATAGAATGATAAAGCTGGAAGGGATCCTAGAAGTCATCTAGCCCAACCTCCCGCAGGATCCACAGGAGAACTCTGACAACTGATCGTCCAGCCTCCGTTTGAAGTCCTCAAATTGTAACTTTGGGTCCCTTCTCTTTGCCTAGCACAATGGCAAAGGAATTCTCTTTGGCAACAGATTTTGCTCCCAGCAGACTTGCTTGGAAGAAGTTTCCCCAAAATAGAATCTCTGAAACCACTGCTGAGCCCTTCCGATCTGATTAAATGGACATGTGAAAGTCAGAGTTAACTGCTTAGCTATGCTCTCACTGTGTGGTTTTGAACAACAACAAAAACCCCACTCCTCTCTCCCCCATCCTTGATAATCATCTCTTAAACAAAGCTCCTCAGGATTGTACAGGTAGTCCTCGGGTTAAGGACGACCCATAGTTAAGAACGGAGCCTATGGTAGCAATTTGAGTTAAATACACAATGGTTTGAGTTAAATATGCAATGGTTCGAATTAATTTCACAATACTACTCATAATGTATTATACAATAATACAATTCCGGCTTACATACAAATTCGACTTAAGGACAGACCTTGGGAACTGAATTGGTTCTTAAACTGGGGACTACCTGTATTTTAGAATAGTTGGGAGGGAGGCTAAGACATGGATGGTAATGTGGAAATTATTAACACATGTTAAATATATTTAATATTTAACACATATTTAATATTAACACATTAAATTTATTAACACCTAATTAACATCAGCCTCTTGGAAGTATCATAGGAAGTTTGTTTTTAGCATATTTTAATTAATTAATTAATATTTATCTATTTTATTTCTGTTTTTACTGTAAACCACCCAGAGTCACTCCGCAGTGAGATGGGCGGTGACAGGTTTGAAACATAAATAAATAAATAAAATATAAAAATTACAAAAATATGCAGTAATCTGATGATCTTTGGAAGCTGAAGGGGGGGACCTTGCTCCATCTTGAGATACGGGGCAAGGGTCCAGTGGAAGTTAATCAGTAAGATGGGAAACGTTTAGAGTCCTTTAAAGCAGTAGCTCCTTTGGTTCTGCAGGCTCAGTGCACAGGACATTCTGTTCTCATCCCAGGTAACAAGGCTGCGTTTTTCTGGTAATCCAGACTGTTCTGTCTGGATCGGAGAACACCGTGTTCTGGCTGAGGATGTCCAACCCGCTTGATCACGGACCTTTTCATTCAGGGATTTCAAATGCCCCGGGTGGCTGAAGTGCACTTGATGCTAGCTGCTGTTTGCTCTGAGAACACACACCTTGGTTTAAGCTTTGTGAATCATCCCCGCTGACCCAGTCAACAATTAGCTGTACAAACACAAAGCCTTTTTGTAGGGGGAGGTTTATGGGAGGCAGTGTGTAGAACATCCGCCCCTTGATCTTTGACACACACACCCTCTGTTTCCCCGTGCAGTTCCAAGGAGGAACCTTTCGTCAATAAAAGAAAGTCTACCTTCCCACCTGGAGGGTTAGAGGTGAATGCTCTGGTGGTTTGCTGAAGAGCAGAGCTTTGGGAGAAGGTGTTTCAGCCACCAACTGCTGCAACTGTTTCCAGCATAAGAACAAGAAAGTACACACATACACATGTGTGTGTCCTTTTGGATGGCCCCAATAAGAGTATTACCCAACTGTAGATTTTAGATGCTTTTGCCCCCCCTGGTGAACCAACACAGCTGTCTTTGTTCTTTGTAACACTTTTGAGAGCAGCAGAAATGTAAGGGTGGCGTGTGCAAGACCTGACCCAGAATTCTCAACTTTAAACTTATTATTTTAAAATGAGTTTCTGTCCAGGCTTAAGAGTCCTGACAAAACTGATAACAATTCATTGGGCCACTTTTATCAGCTCTCCCTGCTAGACATCCCTCCACAGCGATCAAAAAAGCTGTGGGCTTTTTTTTTTTTAAAACGGGGGGGGGAAAGCTCCAGCCTGCGCACATATGGTAAAAGACTGCCAATTTCAGATTGTAACCCAGATGTCCTCTTTTATCGATTTGCTTCCACCTTCAGCAACTCAGAAGGGCAGAGAGCCCTCTGGGAGGAGCGTTGATAGGCCTCCCCTTCTCAAATGGATGAAACCAGTCTTGGCCAGAAATCTGTATCTGCACAGATTCGCTCTTACTGAAATTAAGGACAGCCAGCCTATGACTGTGTGCCTGTTGTAATGAAAGCAGCACAGTCGGTTGAAGAAGCATTCCCTCGGTGAGCCAGGTTCTTCAGATGGGACTCTGTTCCCTCTCATTGCATTCAGCTCTTGGCAAATTTGATGAAACAGGCATGTCAAAAGGGGAGGAAGGGTTAGGAAACTGTTGCGGAGCGTTGAATACTTTTGCAGTCGAATCCAGGCAGAAAAGTAATTACACGACATCTCATGTTATAGCATTTATTAATTGATTAACATTTACAAGGGAAGTGAAAACACTCTGTTGAGCATTTGGTGCTTAATTGGGGGGGGGGGAGTTACTGCCTCGTGTTACTGCTTGGGTTTCTTGTTATTTGTAGGGTTTTATGGTTTTGCACAGGTGAGCTCCTTAGAGTCTTGTGATTGGGGCAGCATAGAAGCTGTAAAATATATTTTCCTCCCCCTCCCACGCCCCAGATCTGTCAGTGCTTCCTGTAATAGAACCTTCTCCAGCTTTGATCCCTGAGGATGCATTGGGACGGCCTTTCCTACCAGCTGGGAAGTGGCAATCACAAGGCACCTGGAGGAGGTTCCAGCTTGGCAAAAGACAACTTAATATGACTGGCCTGTCACAGAGCGAAGCCAGGGGGTGGGCATGCCCTCTTTAAAATTGTGGATTACGTTTTCTTTTCCAAACGTAATAGCCCCTGCCTTTGGAAGGTTTTGGTAACCTTGTGTGAATGTGTTTAAGCCCCAAGTGGGGGTTGGACAGGCTGTTGACTGTGAGGCCAATTCTCACGGCTACCCCTGAACACATTTTGTGGTGGCTTTTCTCTCTTGCAGAAGCCTTCTTCGGCCACCCTTTCCTCGATCAAGTTTCGACAGTCAAAAAGTGTAAGCTGAAGCGTCCTTCTCTACTCACCCTTTGGGCCTCCTGTAAGGCATGAATGACGTAAATGTTCCTTCAGGCATTTGGGCTGGGAGGCTAAACCAGGCCTGTTGGTGGATTTGTTTGTTTTTGTCTTTATTGATTGAAAATAGAATTTTTTAGAGCCGGTGTAGGTTCTTTAATTATCAATACTGGATAATTGGATTAATATTTTGTTTGTTTATTTTTTTATATTCTCTTTTTTTTTTGGTTTTAATCCTCTGTGCCTCTCCCAGAGTGACTATTGTGAGATGGGCATCTGTATAAATTGTTCAAATGAATAACAATTAAGAGGAATTGCCAAGCGCAGTTCAGACCTGCATGACCTCCTAGATACCCTACTCCATGTACTCTGTATCAAGCGTGAGATTGGATCATTTTGATTGTAACACTGTCCTGTACAGGTAGTCCTCAAGTTACGACAGTAATTGGGACCAGAATTTTTGTTGGTAAGCATTGTGGTCATAAAGCATGACATCACATGGCTGCATTGCTTACTGACTGCAATCCCACCAGTCCCCGTTGCAGTCATTAATTGAGTTCCTCCTTGCAACTTCCTGCTGGCTTCCAACAACCAAAGTCAGTGGGGAAGCCGGGAGGAAGTTGCAAGTCCCAGGCAGCTCGCAAGCAGGCCGGCAGGCAGGTAAGTGGCTGCTGCTGTGGGGGGGAGGGTGTGCAAGTGGCAGGGAGGCACAGTGCAAGCGCAGCGGGGCTTGGGATGACTGCTACTGGGTGGAGGAAGATGTACAAGGGGCCGGGGAGGGGGTGTGGCACAAGTGTGGCGGGGCTTAGGGTTGCTGCTGCCATGTGGGGGAGGGTGTGCGAGTGGCTGGTGAGGCACAAGCACAGAGGGGCTGGAGGAAGGTGCACGGGTGGAAGAGACTTACCCGAACAACTTGAGACCTTCCTGGCTGGCTTCCCCATTGACTTTACTTGTGGAAAGCCAGCAGGGAAGGTCGCAAATGGCAATTGCATGACCGCAGGCACCGCAACTGTTGTGTGAGTCGATTGCCAAGCATCCAGATTGTGTTCACGTGACTGCAGGGGTGCTGGGATGGCTGGAATTCCAAGGGCCAGTCGTAACCACCACTCATTCATCGCCATCCTAACTTTGAATGGTTGCTGAATGAGTGGTTGTTAACTGAGGACTACCTGTGTTGCTGTCTTCCTCAATAATTGTGCAGTCTAGACTGCAGCTCCCCATTTTCAGTTCCTGGAGGCATGCACCTGCACAGTTTCCCCGCAAGCGGTATGAATGTCCTTTTGAAAATGTCTGTCCTTTGGAATCCATTCGTTCCTGGTGTTATTCCCACCTCTTTTCTCCATCCAGCTTGTCCTGTGCCTGTTCCAGCACCTACTGGGTCAGTCTCTGGTGGATCCTGCGGTAGCTCTCCCTCTTGCCGGTTTGCTTCTCCCCCAGTAAGTTCTGCTATGATTTGGAAAATTGATTCTCTCCATGGGGGGGGGGCAAATGAATGGGCATTTTCTATGCAGCAAAATGTGTCCCCTCCCCATCTGCTGGATCCCGAAATCTCTGGCTGTTGTGCCTTTCTTTACCACCCCAGTAAATGTTCCAGAGATTGTTGGGGTTCTACTCAGGGCCTTTCCCTCCCCTGGAATTCTTCAAGCCCTGTTCTGTGGCTGCTTGTACCCAGAAGGCCCCAGTTTCCACGTTCAGCATCCCCAGAAAAGGTCTCTCTGAGGTGCTGCCAGCCAGAGCTTGCCATATTGAGTGACCTGGACCAAAGAACCTTTGCTTGTGAACTTTAAGGGGAAGGGTGACTGCTCAGCAACAGGATGTGTCTTGCTTGCGGAACATATCAGGTCAGACAGGTCAAGCAATGTGTGAGGCCCTGAACCACAGCCAGAGACATTGCAACTTTTTGTCCAACCTTGTCTAAGCTTATTATTGGCCAATATGTGCTTCTCAGTAAGAATGCTTCTTGTTTAATGAAAATTATTTTCAGACTTTCAAAAGTCCTCTTCCCCTCCTTCCAAAGACATGTCTAGCTCCAATGAGTAATTTGAAAATGTGAGGTAGTAAAAGGTGAATCCTTCTTTTTCCCCTCTTTCTAGCCTTTTAAAGAGCTAAAATTAAAATGAAGTGACCTTGGAAGGCAAAAAAGAGCTATGAGCTGACAGGAATTACCTCTTAACAATGAGAGGATGAAGAATTGTGCTTTTTTTTTTCTCTCTATCATTCAGTGCAAGTTTCCTAAATACTCTTACTGCTTTATTTTATTTTATTCTTAAATTTGTATGCTGCCCTTTGAGAACAAGAAGTGTGCACAGACACACTTTATTTTTAAATATAGTTGAGCAGTAATTTCATTGAGATGAAGAACAGGGCTTTCTCCTGTTTGCCATTGGGGTAATTTTCAAAAATGTTAATCACAAAGATTTGAAAGAAAATGTATTCTGGGGCTCTGATTTTATTTTTGTTAGATTGTGCAATGTGTACATGGAGAACAGTGACCCCAAAAGTAGGGCACATGCCCTTTTCTGGCCTGAGCCAGCATTTGCATGATACCAAAAAGAAGGACAGTTCCCAAGTTTGATAGAATTCACAATGGGCAATGTGTGCCATCTTCAGAACCTGCAAAGGAATAAATAGGTGGAGGTTCCCCACCTGCCTTTGCAAAACTGTTGCCTCTGACTCCTCATCTTCTCTCCAGTCCCTTCCAGATATGCAGCACATCCAGGAAGACAACCTCTCTTCTCCTCCCTTGGGGCCTCCGAATTACCTTCAGGTGTCCAAAGACTCTGCCAGTACCAGTAGCAAGAATTCCTCCTGTGACACAGATGACTTTGTCCTGGTTCCACACAACATCTCTTCGGACCAGTCGTGTAAGATTCTCACTATGTATGGTCAACAGCTGCTCCCCAATTCTTGGTGTCTCTTCTCTGACTCTTTAACTGTCTTTCACTGTGGAGTGTGCCAGTGTTGGGATGTGTGTTTTGTAGCAAGTTTTGTTTGAGGAGGGTAAGAAGTACTCTCCCTTCTGTTGTGTTCTTTACTGGTGCAAATTTTTCCATCTCTTGCCATCAGGGCAGTGATTAACCTTTTGTCATAGGAACAATTCTGGTACAAAATTAGGGTCGGAGCAAATCTTTTTATGAGACCAGTAAAGGACTTGAGAAGTTTATGCCCAGTTACTGCTTTATTTTATTTTATTCTTAAATTTGTATGCTGCCCTTTGAGAACAAGAAGTGTGCACGTTTTATCTGTTTTCCATTTATCAAGGCACCTGTGTTTGCACAGTTATCTTGAATTAAGTGGAATCAAAAACATGTTTTGTCTGTACCTGAGAGAAGTACCAGTAAAGAGGAATACATTCCTCTTTGAATTCCTTGCCTTCTCCCTTTTATTTTCTAAGCTCTTGTAGAGAAGGAGGCATACAGAGGTCAACATTTTTTTTTAAACAGAGCAAGAGGTGTGTGTAGAATTGTAGTTGGGAAGAATGTTTGGGATCAAAGCTAGGTGTGGCATTAACTGCTTTATTGCAGACAGTGGAAAAAGAAAAAAGCTCTAATTGTTATACAGGTAGTCCTCACTTAACAATCCTAATTGGGACTGGCAACTCCATTGCTAAGCAACACATTTAGTGAAATGTCACACGACCGCCCCGCTTAGCAATGGCAGTTCCGGTGGTCCCAATTGCTATCATAAAGTGAATCCCATATGGTTGTTAGGTGAGGACTCACCCAGATCCAAGCCATTATTGGAAGAAGGTAAAGGACTGCCTCAAAGTCAACTTTTCCCCCCATCTCTGCTCTTTTGGCCACCTGCACACCTGTCGCCACATGGCCCCACCCACTGCCGCACCACGCGCCACTATTGGCTGGGGCCTTTTTTTGCACTGGCCAGTAGTGGTGCGCATTGCGGCACCCGCCCCCCACCCCCTGCCTGTAGCTCTTACCCACCAGCCTGTGGGATGTTTCCATGGCACCTCCCCTGCACATGACCGAGATGGTGAGCCCAGCAGAGGGGAGGCAGGTAAAGACAACAGCCTTTACTGCTAGGAGGGTGGTGGGAGCAGGAGGCCATCATAAATGCAAGCGGCCATCATAAATGCAAGAAATTTTGTTCACATGACTGTGAGGGCACTGCAGCGGCCAGAATTTTGAGGACTGGTCATAAGTCCAATTTTTCAGCACTGTCATAATGTTGAATGGTCACTGAACAAATGGACATTAAGTGAGGACTACCTGTATGAAAACCATGTTTTGAAGTGAAGTTCAGTATATTTTGAGTGAAGTCATTTTTTTCAGAAGCTTCCATTTCTTCAATGTGCTCTACAAGAGAAAAGTCTGTAATGGTTTACAGTCAGTGTCATATTAAAATGCCATTTCATGTTGCACATGGAAGTTCCCACCTCTTTCAGTGCAGCTTTGTTGTTGTTTTGCTTATTTAAAGGAGAACCTGGAAGCTCATAGAAGTGAGGAAGGGGAATGCCATTTAAACAGGCAAACATATTTTAAAATGTCTTTAAATATGCCACAATTCTGGCAAAATTCCTCTCAGAGGTAGACTTTTGCATTTCCCATCTGAGAAGAGACTTGGGATCACACCAGAGCAAATCAAGAATTCATTACTCCCTTCTGGCAGTCCTTAATTATCTTTCCACAAACAAATCTACTCCGGGTTTTTGTCCCTAAGTATTTTGTCTTCCAGCAGTTTGATATAGCAAAGAATACTGTTGTTGCTGTCATTAAACAATGGTGAATTAGAGACTTTCTGCCATCTAGTTGCAAATATACAGAGATTGTTATTTACATCTCACTGCTTTGCTCTAGAAACCAGTAGCAGTACAGGTAGTCCTCACTTGACCACAATAGGGACCAGAAAATTGGTCATTAAGTGGGGTGGTCATTAAGCAAGTCACCACATACCGGACCCATTTTACCACCTTTTTTATGATGGTTGTTAAGCAAATCACCATGTTAAGTGAATCACATGATCATTAAGCAAATCCAGCTTCCCCAATGGATGTTTTTGCCAGAATTCACTTAACAACCAATGATTCGCTTAACAACCATGTAAAAAGGTCGCAAATCACGATCATGTGACCACAGAGGGTGGTGCGATGGTTTGCGATGGTCATAAGCGCGAGTACAGGTTGTAAAGCACTTTTTCCGAGGCCATCATAACTTCAGACCGTCATTAAAAAAATGTTTGTTAAGTGAGGACTACCTGTATTGTGGATTACCCCAAAAGACTTCACAAAGCATTAATGACTATACTTCTACGTATATATGAGAGAGACAGAAACACTACTCCTAAAATACCCTCCATAGTGCAGAATTATAGTGGAGGATTTTTTAGTTTCTTTTTTTCAGGAGCAGTCCCTTGGCTTCTCCAGAATTAATCCTCCTGCCCACCCCAGAATATTTGGGGCATACTCATGGCTCACCTATTCCTTTCTGGTTCTTGAATGAGAAGCCAGACTTAATGCATGCCATAGAAACGGAAAATCAAACCCTAATCCCCTGCCCAGTGCAACAATCCATTACAGCATCTCATTACAGCATCTCTACAGATGACCCACCAGCTTCTGTTGAAACCCCTCTGGTGAAGGAGAGCCACCACCTCCCATGGCAATCATTTCCATTGTTGAATTTGGTAAGAATATTGCCTGGGTACAAACACACAGCCTTTACCGCATCTCTACCATGCTCTCCTGTAGCTGCCTCGATCCCATCACGTGCTCGGTGGGGTAAACCTGTTTTGTGATCCCTCTCTTTTCCCTGCAGATGATCTGCCCCTGGCAGCTGCGGGCCGGAGGGCTTCAAGCGAATTCCTGATGTGTGGAGGGTAAGGATGCAGTGATTTCACCCTGTAATTGTAACATCAGTGATGGAGGGGGCATGGCATGATTTTTGGGGGGGTTGCATTTTGAAGTGTTTTGCGTGACTCCCACCAAAGTTAGGTGAAGCCTAAAATAGCCCCTTCGGAATAGTTTCCCCTCATCTTTAATTGTCTGTGTCCCCTTTAACAGACAGAGTCCGTTAACCGTTTCGGGAAGCGCTGGCAATTTTCAGAAGCCTTCCTCAAACAACTCCGGTAGTAGTCCTTCTGGTTCAGCAAACAGGTGTGTGTAGCCCTGGCCCTCTCTACCCTGCCCCCTTCCCCCTTTCTTCATTCCTCTTCCTTCGTTCTTAAAACTCACACTAGGCATCATCCGACACCTTTCTGTGGGCAGGCACCCTTGGCGTGATCCTCACAGAATGGATACAGAAGTCATCCTCTATATTTACAAAAAGGCAGGCATGGCGAGTCACTCCCTGCCTTTCTGTTTCGCTCCCAAGTATATGTCTTTTCTTCTCCCAACTCCATTAACTAAAACAGCATTTTACGTTTGCTGGGGAAGAGAGGAAAAGGAACAGGCTGGGCACAGGATATGTTTGGGACAGTTTGTGTCATCTCAATGTCTGGACAGGAACCAAGATGGATCCATCCCATTAAGGACACAGCAGTTTGATGCTTTTAAATCCTTCTAGCCACTCCCATTTCAACTAATGAGCTCAAATACAATGTGGGGAGTCTGGGTGGAACTCCCATGATTTTTTTTTCCTTTCTTATTTAAAAATCACTTTTCTGGAGGGATACTTGACCTGGTGCAAGGCAAGATGGTAGAATTTAATAGTCAAAGAGGGGACAGTTTCAGTTGGTGGAGCAAAGGTCTTAAATTCCTCGCTCCGTGACCTTGATTAGTAAGCATTTTTTTAAAGAGGTAAAAGTGATTATTGTATTTCACATCTAACATTAGACGTTTGGATCTGCAGAGGCTATTAACATTTTGCAGAGGAGAGACCTGCCCTCTACTAATTTAATAATCTGGACAAGGCTGCAAATTCCCGTGTTTGTGATTTCCTCCTCTTCTTGCCTCAGCTTCCTTCATCTGCTGGGGTGGCTTAGAAAAGGGGAAGATTCTCCTCTGATACTTTGGTTGTTAGCAAAGCTCTCCCAGCTGTCTTAGAAAAGTCAACATGGTCCATTTATGCCAGTGTTTTTCAAACTTGGCAACTTTAAAATATGTGGACTTCAGCTCCCAGAATTCCCCAGCCAGCATCTTTCATTCAAGCGGCAGTTGATCTCATTCCAAGATAGGCAGTTTATTACCCATCATCCAGAGGCATATAATGAGATATAGAAAGGGGAAAATAAAGTAGGGTTAGATAGGTGTGTAACCATACATTTTTTTGCATGGCAGAATTCTATTTGGTTGTTGTATCTATCCCATTTATATCACAATTTTCCTCCAAAGAACTCAGTGTATGTCATGCGCAGGCCAGAATCCTCTCCTCTAATGTAGGTCACTAGGCTGAAAGTGACTTCCCCTGCCTCCCAGCTTCCTGCACTCCAAATGTGTGTTGGAAGTGCACCGTTTGGGGAAGCCTGTGGGAAAGCTGAGGTGTCTGTTTTGGGGGGTGGGAAACAGAACCTGGCCTTCTTAGCCAAGCCATCTTCAAGAGGCTGCAACCCTCACTCAGTGTTTGCAACAGTAGGGCCTAAAACAGGTGCATGCCCTCGGTCTGCTCAGGTGCTAATCTTCAGCTGGTTTGTTGACTATCCAGGGACCGGTTGCATCATCTGTTTTCTTTCCCTGAGCCCTTTCCCAAGTCTCCTGACTTTAAGCCTTGAATAAACAAACTCAGCCTTCCTAACTTCTGAACTTCCTGTTCCCTCTTCCCTGGTGGGTTTTCCTAGAAAGGCTTTGTTTTGAAATGTTTAAAGGGAGGGGAAGCAGGGAGTGGCCGCCCTGCCTGAGGGAGGCCAGAAAGAGGAGGAGCCTGCCTCCAGCTGACCTCTTCCTATATTGCATGACTGATTTTTCCACCCAGGCCTAAGTCCTCAGCATTCGCTCCCCAGTGTATTAGCAGCAGGCATCCTCTTGTCTCGTTGGTGCTGTTTCACAGACATCTGAGCCATCAGGCACTCAGCCATGAACATTTATTCCTGCAGAGAAGAGGATTTCACAGCACTCCTTATGGCACAAAGGTTTGCCTGCCTGTCTTCATTGCACCTCTGCTTGCCCCCCACCTATAGGCAGTGCCAGCCTTCGGTCTCCCCGCGGAGTGAAACAATGCCCATTCCAGTCCCCACTCAGTTACGGAACTACCAGCTCATTGAGCAGAACCTGACTTCAGCCACCAGCCCAGGGTCAAACCCCCATGGGTCACCAAGGTAAGACCTTCCTTCTTAAGTAGTGCAGTCGTTAAGCAAGGCATCACATGACCACACCTGATTTTACAACATTTTTGTGGCAGTCATTAAGTGAATCATACAGTTCTCCATTGATTTTACTTGTTGGAAGCTGGCTGGGACAGTTGCAAATGGCGATCACATGACCCCAGGATGCTGCAACTGTCATAAATACATGCTGGTTGCCAAGTACCCACATTTTCATCATGTGACTGCAGGGATGCTGCAATGTTCTTAAGTGCAAGGACCGGTTGTAAGTTACTTTTTTTTCAGCGCCGTCATAACTTCGAACAGTCGCTAAACGAATGGTCGTAAGTCAAGGACTACCTGTACTTCGGTCTTAGTGGCTGATTCAGACATTATCCCAGCCCAGTACCTGTGGGAATATCCTAGTCCTTAATGCCCTCATAAAGGACAGCAAGACAGGGAGAAGGGGGCTGTTCCAAAGGGCAGACATTGCCATATCAGCCTCCTTCTCAGAATAAAGGCAAAATATACCTGCTGTAAATAAGGAAATGATCCTGAAATTGAACATTAAACATTTCAGGATTATGTTCCTGTCAGGATGTTACAAGATGGGTGGCCATATAAATTGAGCAAATCAATAAAACTTTCCACTAAGTAACTGGCTGGGTGTATTGGCTAGTTATTCCGCATTTCTATTCTGAAGCTGGAGTAGGCCCTTTCTCTTCTACTTTCAGATCTGCGGTGGTGAGGCGGTCCAATACCAGCCCCTTGGGCTTCCTGAAGACAGGCTCCTGCTCTCCAGTGCCAGCTGACACCGCCCAGACTATTGGCCGGAGGCTGTCCACAGGCTCTTCGAGGCCCTACTCCCCTTCGCCACTAGGTGAGCTCCAATGCAGCACAAGCAGAAATCACAATTGGAAACCTGGGCTGCCTGTTTGGGTAACCTTTGTCTTTAATAAACAGCCAACTCTCGCATGGGGCCTTTCCTTGTCAGGCAGGATAAGTTCAGCTGCCCTGTATAATGGTGGGGTGAATCCCCCAGCTCCTCCCCAGTTCAGGCTGGAGCATGGGGCTTGGTTCATTCAGGTGGAGTCCCCCTTCGCCACTGCTTGGGAGGAAGAACAAGACCTCTGACCACATCAGAGATGCACAGAAAGTATGGGACATGTGTGCTTTTTAAATGCTGACATAGGGGGGTTGGACATAAGGAATCTCCTTGAATTTTGGGAGGAAGAAGAAGCTTTCTTGTGTTAGGGGCATTGATGTTTGATGTGTTGTACTTGAATGGTTATCTGATCAATCTCTTGTCACACTCTTTAAAGTACCCTTCTCCACTGTGATGTCTTCCAGAGGAGTTGGATTCCAACTTTTATAACGTCTTCTGTCTTATGAGTGATGCTGGCTTGAAAGTTGTTATGTAATACATGGAGGACATCAAGTTAGGGAAGGTTGTCAAATGAAGTAATGCCAAAAGGGGATATAGATCTATCTTTGTGGTGACATTGTTGTCATCTTATGAAAACAAAATGCAGGTGGCTTTCTCATTCCTAAGAAAAAGGAAAGACTAGGCGGGCTGTTCTTATTGTGAGATCTCATGACGTTAACATGGTTTGAAGATATATAAACACTTCTGAACAGAGGATAACTGGCAACCCATTAAAAGAGTAGGTAAAGCGTGGGATTATAACGGATAAAAATGAAAACTATGTATAGAGAAAATTTTAAATGAATAACATTTTACATTCTTGTTGCCAAGCATTTCTGCCTTGATTTTCATATTGAAAAATTCCTAGAGCAGCTTAGAGAATAATAACAACAAGAAGACAGTTCTTGCCCTTTGGGACTTAAATAGATATGATGTAAGGAAAAGAGGTTGAGAAGGATAAAGGAAACTAACTCAAGCCCCCATAGATCTTATAATCTTAAAATTATAGTGCTTACTGAGTAAGCAATTATGCTGTAATCATCAGGGTGTTGGGCTATGACTGGGGCGATCCTGATTCAAGCCTGTCTTTAGTCATAGAAGCTCATAGGGTGACTTTGGATCAGACATTTTTTCTCTCTAGTAGTTGCATTCTTGGGAAAAATAACGATCTCACTCTTTCCCTTTCCCCCAGTTGGTGCGATACCTGAGCAACTTGGGCACTGCTGTTGCGGGCAGCTGCAAGGGCACGAATCACGGGGCCGAAGCTCCTCAGGTTAGCAGTTTGTCTTTGTCCCCCCACCCGGGTTTTAAGGAGCAGGTTTTGGCTCCTGTAGAGGCACAAAGCCTGAAACAGCCTTGGCCCAGAACCTTGAAGTCTTTCCACCCAAGCTTGTTCAGGAGGCTTGTGGAGATAATTCAACTGCTTAAGAAATGGAGGGTGAAGAACTGTTAGATTACAGGCCAGTTCTCTTCTGGGTCTCCATCTCTCAGGCCTTTGTGCTCCATCTTATAGAAGCCAGAAGGAATGGAGAATATCTCAAAGGCCTTTGGCAACCAAGTCATTGGAATAAGAGTTGGAAGGGATCTTGGAGATCATCACATCCGACCGTTGCCTGATGCGGGAATCCACTACTACAGCATCTTTTTATAGGTGTCTACCCAGCCAGTACCTCCCCCACCTCTCGAGGCAGGCTCTTCCATTGTTGAACAGCTCTGAACAATTAGGACATTTTTCCTGACGTCCAAGCAAAACCTCCTTGTAACTTAAACCCATTGTTCCTTGTCCTGTCTTGGAATAACTGAACAATTCTGCCCATCTTCCACACAACAGCACTTCAGATACCTAAAGACAGCTATCATGTCTTGCCTTTTCCGGGCTAAATGTACCAAACACCTGCAAATGTTTTTCCTCCAGTCCCCTTATCATCTTGGTTGCTCTCCTCTGGACACACTCTGGCTTGTCAGTGTTTTTCCTGAAATACAGCATCTAGAACTAGATACAGTATTCTAGATGTGGTCTGACCAACGCAAAATAAAGCAGAACAGTGTCTTCTCTTGATCCTGATGCTGTTGATTCAGCCTAGGATCGCATTTGCTTTTTTGCTCGTTTGTTTTTTGCAGCTGCATCACACTGTTGGCTCATGATCAGCTTGTGATCTGTCAAGACCCCAGATCCTGTTGACATGTACTGTTGTCCGCACAGTCCCTCATCCTACATTCACGTCTTTGATTTTTCATATTCAAAGGCAGGAGTTTACTTGCTGAAATGTGTATAAACAGAACTCCCTTTTGTTGGTTCTTTCCTGCATAGTACCACAATAAACCTGCAATTTAGTAGCCTAATAAGAGGGAAAGGGTATCTGTTACAGGCCTTATGGATCTGGCAAGTTTTTAGAGGGTGCTTGAGGAGTTCGTTGTCAATCTAGCAAGCAGTCCTGCCTTGCGCCTGCTCACTCTATGGGAAGCGGAGGCAAGCAGAGCAGTGGACAGGATTGCTCCAAGAAGTCTCTGCCCAGTTGTCAATCCCTGGCAGCTCCTTGTTAATGAGGAGTTGAGGACAATGAAGTCACTAAAAAGACACCTAGAGGGTGAAAAAACAGAAGTGGGCAGAACTGAGCACTGGCAAAAGCTCGCATTTGAGACTGTAGAGTGGCAGTAAGAGAGGCAAAGTGGCACTTCTTCTCCACACTTCTTGTGTCTGCCGGTTTCCAGCCCAGCATTTGTTTCATCACTGAAGTAGTCAGCTTCTCATAACTTGGCCTCTAATGCTGAAGAGCTGCGCTTTGGGAATTCATTTGATTTATATGGCCACCCCCTTGCCAGGCAACTCTGGGCAGCTCACAGAGTTCCTTCCGGTAGATGGGTGGCTATATAAATTTGTTCAATAAATAAACGGGGTAAAAACATCAAATACAAAGGAAAATTATAGAACAGATGTGCCAGCGACACGCAGCTCAAGCTTGTATACTGTCCTGGCCTGGATAAGAAGGGCCTTCTCGAAGGCTGGCAGGGTTGGACGCCTCAGATTTCAGGAGAGAGGCAGTTCCACACGCAGGGGCTCTGACAGAGGGCATGTGATCAGCCTTCGCTTTTGAAGTTGAACTGGGAAAAGCGTTGGGAGCAGGCAGGTGGCATTCTTTAAGTTCAGACGGATGCAGTTAGCGATTGATGAAGCATCCAAGACCATGTGCTGTTCTTCATATAATAAGCGCTCTGTTACTGCCTTGGACGATCAGGGATGGAACACGGGCAAGCAAGCAGGGCAGTGGATGTGGGATGTGATTTCAGACTCTGCTCTGGATCCAGCATAGAAACTGGCAGGGCCCCAGTTCTTCACCCCTAGGCAAGCAGTTTTTTTTTCAGGCTGTAATGTCGGGAGCTCTTGAGAAGCACAAATTAACCTAGCTCTCTTTAGGGAGGAAAGGAAAAATGCCTTTCTGGTAATAGCTGGACAACACTTTACGAGAGCCTTTACAGAATTCCTCTTCATTGCTCTCCTTGCCTGCACTTGTCTCTCTCTAGCGCCTGGGCACACACGTGCTCTGATCCTGGTCAGATGCTTTTTGTGTGCATGGCATGTTTAGAGGACGTGCTTCCAAGAAAGAGAACAAAACAACCAGTGCTGTAACCCGGGTTGACCTTTCCCTGAGCTGTAACATCCTGTTGATGGGGCAACTCTGAGATTCTGCGCGGGCTTTGTTATTGGTTTTGGTGGCTCATGAAAGCAGTCCCTTTTCTTCTTTCAGCCACTTGTGTGACCTGTGATGACAAAGAGCTTTCTTCCCCTCTTTCGCCTGCCTCCCTCAAGTTGTGGATAGTGTCTCTGATCACGCTCATTAGGCCTTTGTTCAGCAGGTGGTTAAAAAAGAACGGGTTGGCACAACTAGTGTGGGCTCTTGTTGGACTTCCTCTCCATGACCCCCAGCCAGTATGGTTCAATTCCAACGCCTCTGGAAAGCCCCAGTTTGGAGGAGCTGCTTTTAAAAACCAGATCTGGCCAAGGCCGATGTTCGTAGGATTGTATGCATTGCACCCACAGGTCCAAAAAGAGAAAGCAAGATGTGATCTTGGTTTGGTTTTGAGAGTGTCTCAGCAGGCCCACTGAGGTTTGGTGACATGAACTGCCAGAAGTGCTAGCCTGGAAGAGTAAAACTTCAGGTAAAGGCAGAAGACAGTGTTTTTGAAACTTGGCAACTTTAAGATGTGTGGACTTCAACTCCCAGAATTCTCCAGTGAGCTTGCTGAGTGGGGGATTCTGGGAGTTGAAGTCCATGCATCTTAAAGTTGCCAAGTTTCAAAAACACTGATGTAAAACAATTGTTGACCAGATGCCCTGAATCCCACCTTGTTTCTGCCCCTCCTTGCCAGGCTCCTCAGCAACACAGTCCCAGTCTCCACAGTCCCTCCTGTTGGCAGGAGCTCGACTGCAAAACACACCAACCCTGACGGACATTTACCAGAACAAGCAGAAGCTTCGGAAGCAGCATTCAGACCCCATCTGCCCATCGTACACGGGCTACAGCTATGGCCATTCGCCCCAGCCCAGCCGGCCAGGCAGCCTGGGGACATCGCCCACCAAACACATGGGGTCATCTCCACGGAGCTCGGACTGGCCCTTCAAAACTCCCCTGCCAACCATCATTGGCTCTCCCACCAAGGTGAGTGTTCAGAGCTGCTATACACGAATGGGATAAGCGTTGGCCAAGTTCTTAGGCTGATACAGAAGCAGGTTCTCTGGGGTCCTGCAGATAAGGCAGAAAGGTGCCATCCTTTTCTCTGGCTTCCTCAACCCGCTCTTACAAGACAGTCTAACAATACAGAAAACTAACCAGTCTCCCGGTACAAATCCTATATGAAGTTTCCCAGCTGTCAGGCTTCATACCAAACATAGCAATATGTCTCAGCTTTCCAACCACTTAACCTCACATGTAGGAACTTACTTGTTTATAGCAGAAGCTCACAGACAAACCACAGCTTTGTTGTGGACAAGATTGAAGCCACAATCTGCCTACTGCAGACCCAGAATCAGCACCTATAGTTAGGTATACACTCCAGGGCTTAAATTCCAAGCCTTTTTGAGTCAGTAGAAATTTGGCTATTCCCCTCAAGACCTTGAGATTGGGAGACCTGCTTAATGTTGACATAGCAGTTTTGTCTGTCCTAGAACCACTGGTTCCTGCCTCACCAGGTTCATGCCTTACATCCAAGTGACAATCATGGGTTTGGGATTTCTTTCCAAGTGGTGTAAAATGGAACCCTGAGGCTTTAGTTTCAGGAATTGCTTGGTGGTAGAGCATTGGAGAGCACCAAACTTTTCTTTTGTCTTACTCACATATGGTGTGATGTTTTGGTTTAGGGGGTTGGGAAAAAAGCCCTGCTAAATCTTAGGCTTTAGTTGTGATTTGCAGTTACACAACCAGGTTTTCAATTTTAGAATTTTAAAGTGCTGTTTTAATATTTTTATATCGTTGCCTTATTTTTAGTGATAGCCCACCTCTTGGAAGCTCAAAGTAGGTAATGACAGACATCATTAATTTAAATAATCCTTGCTTATTGATTTAAAATATTGGTGCCTCTCCCTTAGTGGAATGAAAGCATCCCCCAAAAAGTTACATACCATAAAATAATAATAAAATGTTAAACAAGCAACAGGTGCCAGTTATTTTAAAATTGCTCACAGTACTGAAATCAGATAACAGTTTTGACTAAAACTAATTTAAATTCGTGAGAGAAGGCCATCTTCGAAAGAAGTAACTAGGATCTTTCATCAGAAAGGATTTCTAGGCTCCTTTTGCAATTTGTATTAGTTTATGACACCCCCAAAGACCTTTCTGTAATATTTTGTTAATTTCAGTTGGTATGTGTATATTTTTTTATGTATGCTCTGATGCAGTGTTGATTGAAAGAACATTGGGCCTAATAAATTGGACCGTCTGGATTCCTTTGAGAAGAAAATAAGCATAAAATGAAAATCAGCACAATAAAATAAAATACGAAGTTTTGTGCTCTTTTCTCCTCCCACATTAGTGCCTTTTCTCCTACTGATGACATTTGAACACTATCTTTATGTTCCGAAACATTTTGAGGCAGTTTACAAGAATTAAAAATAGATCGATTTGCCATATACCACTGAAAAGGAACATGTAATCTTGCTGTTATCTGTTGCCTTTTTAACTGTGGTTTCAAAGAACCTTAGTAGTGCAATCTTGTATGTTCCCCCTAAGAAGTAATACAGTTGAGTAGAAACAAGGATGTTATCATCATCATCCCACCTTTTTTTTAATATATATTTGGTCTATTCAAGGCAGCAAACATACCTAATACTCCTTCCTCCTCCTATTTTCCCCACAGCAACAGCCTTGTGAGGTGGGTTGGGCTGAGGGAGAGTGATTGGCTCAAAGTCACCCGGCCGGCTTTCATGCCTAGGGCAGAATTAGAACTCACCGTCTCCCAGTTCCTAGGCCAGCACGTTCACCGCCACGCCAGCCTGGCTTGTGCCAGGTGGTAGCTTAATCACGTTCAACTCTTCTTTTGAAGGGGTTTAAAAGGTCTGTGACCCCAGTCCTCATAACTGATTTGGAATTCAGGAAGGGATTTTTTTTCTTTTCCTTTAGGCGACCGCTCCTTTCAAAATCCCCAAGACCCAAGCGTCTTCTAACTTAGTGGGCCTAGTCAGTCGGCAGGGGCCCTCTGAGCTCTTGCTTCCACAGCCGAAGGATATGGGGGAGACCAGAGAGTTCACACCCTTCCACTCCACACAAGGCGGCGAAAAGCAGGCAAGAGATCAACATGGCAAGACAGCATTTGGCAGGTATTGATCCCCATCCTACACTGTACGCATCCTTGGTCTGTTCTGCAGCACGCTTTAAAACATAAACATTGTTATTTCAATGTTAATATGCGTTCACTGGATTTTGGTTAAATTCTTTTTGAGTTGATTTGTAATGTTTGTGTGTTCTGATACACACCAGCCCTGGTAAGTGCAGGATGATGGTGGTGATGACAACGATGACGACTGTGGCTTTAAATCAGGGGTTCTTAAACTTTTTGTGCTAGAGACCCCTGTGAGAGTCTGGTGTAACTTATGGGACCCTTCTCAGAAAAATGTATTTAAAGGCATGAAATAAAATAGAATAAAGTTACAGGTTTTTTTCCCCATCCAAGTTCCAGAGGGATAGATAACCCCTGAAATCTATCCACAGAACCCCCTGCCCACTCTTATTTGTGAACCCCAGATAAAGAATCCTTGCCCTAAACCAACCCCAACATCAAAAGCTTCAGAGCATTCCAGAGCTGCTTGAAGTTGGCTGGTACAGTGGTAGCTTAGGTCCAGACTGTTAATCAGACTGTGCCAGGAACTCACTGTATTTAAGGTGTTCTCATTCTTCTCCCCAGTTCCACTCCCTGTATTGTCCACCAAGGTGAGCAGTTTTTTATTGCTTGATGGTTGTACTGTTTGCTGGCTCGGGAGCCACTTGCGCACAAGCAAATATAAACACTTAACAGCTTTCTCCCGGTAATCTTGTTAGAGGAGGACGGAAGAAGCTCTGCTCACAAGCTGGTGATCCAACTTGCAGGTCTCTGATTTCAGCTACGGGAAAGCAGCAGTTTCAAGTGGAGCGGGGAGGCATTATTGCAATGCACAGGCTGTAGACTGCCTGTTCCTTTTATAGGGAAGAAGATCATTGTCCTGGTCTTTCTTACAGAGGAGTTGCACATGGATCATAATTTTCCATAGCATCTTTATGGCGTCCTCCCTTTCAGGATGATACCTCCTTCTGGAATAGCAGGTGGGAGGCAGTCTTGAAGCCCTTTTCAGGGACGTCTTGACTCCCACACCAGCCCTGCTTAGTGAGCAGAGCAATTGGATTAGTCTGGAATTCCTAAGAGCGTATAGCTGGTTTTTTCTTTTTTTCTTTTTGTTCTTTTAAAATATTCTCTGCTCTGGTCTTCACTCCCTCCTGCTTCCTCCCTCTTTTTCCCCCTACATTAGGACTACGGCAGTGCTGAGGAGAGGTGTGTGCCCCTGCTGGGGACTACAATGGTGCCAGAACAATCTGAAAACCCAGGTAGTTAGGCTGTGTTAAATTTCCTCCTGCAGAATGGTGGATTAAAGGCTTCATTTCTGGGGCTTAGCTGCTTTTCAGGAAGTCTGAATCCTGCCCCACAAACAGCATAATAGAATAAGGGAAAAAATCATCAACTCATTCAGACTGCCTCTTCCTCACTCTCAGAAGGCCCAGACAGTCCTCGGAGATCCCAGAATCTTTGTTTTCAAAAGACGCCCCAGAAAGTTAAGAACCACAGAGCTTCTAAAAGAAAGCTACAAAGTACCAGACAGAGATCATCCAAGATTACTTGAAGGACCTCAGCTTTGTGGTGAACCTGCAGAAGAGTGCCTTCAGGCCATCTCAAAGTCTAGAACACCGAAGAGTCACAGTCTGTGGTGTCTCCCTGTCCTCCCAGTGGTGGCTTACTGTCAGATACCCCCATGCTTGGTCCTTCCACCTGTTTGGCTGTGCTTCCAGGCCACAGGTGCACCATTCTTAGGATGAGGATCATCGAGAATTGGTCGTCTTGATCAGTTTTGGCTTCCCTTCCATTTCTTCTCTAGTTGCTGGGGCTGTCTTTCTGTCCTTTGAAGGTTATGTGGGCATAAACCAAGTAAACTGCTCAGATCACTTTGGATTCCAAGTGAGTACCTCATACAATAACCAGTTTTTCAATTGGCGCAAGTCTTGATAGCTATGCTGCTACCGTCATTTAATTAATTTAAGTAGATAGCTCTACTTAAAATGATCAAAGATTTGTGTGAAATCCATGCTCTATGCCTCCCACTCAAAGCACCTTAAGTATCTTTGTCCAGTACAAGAAGTAAGATATTATCTACCATTTCATCACCCTCCATCAAATTGGATCATACTTCTGTTGTAGACATTGTTGGCACTCTGCATTCTGGACAAGAAGGGCCTCTAGCTTGACACCATGGCCCCACACTTTTCAGATGCTAGAGTTTAGGTCTCTTTCACATGTATCATGGTGATAAGCATGAAGTCATTAAGATTTTCTATGCTGAGGCCATCTGGGCTGAAGCTCAAACTGCTAAGCACTCCAGTGTTTGTATTTTGCCCAGTGATGGCACCCGTGGCTGCAACTGATGAGTTTCAGCCAAGAGTCCGAGATCCATAGTCAGTACTATGCAACCCAACATGGAAGAGATCTGCAATTCCCAAAGTGTGGACACTTTAGAAACCCTCCAGAAGCTCCATTCTGCAGCTAAACAGCTGTTTCTCAGGCTGCACCAACCAGTTCTGTGCTACCAGAAGTGGACTTGGCTATCTGGCCATCAGATGTTTCCTTCAGGTGAAGATGAGTGCTTCCATATCTCCCCCCTGAGGTCCCACCAGGAACACCTTTCCATTGGCCTTGAAGACCAGGTTTTAATTTCACAGGCAGTCATCTCAGAGCCAAGCATTGCTTGGATTCATTTCCATACTTGGAGCCATGTTCCTCTACGCAGGATGCTCTAGTGACAGCAGATCATCTTCGTTGTGGTGTTTGGTCATCAACGGGTGCCTGCCGTAAGGGAGACAAGGCTCCCAGCAAACATTCTGGGCTCTGCAGTATTCCGTGGAAATACAGGACGCACATCTGATCTCATGGGTGATTCTTCTCTGGACAGATTTTACTCATAGGAACAAGTCATTCAAATGTAGGAAACCTGAAGGTTTATTTGTCTCTTTTCAAAGTGAATCCAAAGGAGGCAAGGCAGCTAAGAGTCCTATTCCCCCCTAAGCTGAAAGATTGTATTCAAGCCTTGGGTGGCTTTGGGGCCAGAATCTCGAATGGCGTTCTGGGGCATTCACACGGAAGGGGCAAGTTCTCCTGATTTGGAGAATTCCCTCCAGGGCAAGGGGGTCCAGGCCAACAGATGTTTCGTTACTGAGAATTTCTGTTCTTCAAGTAAAGTAGAGGGCATTTGATTTGTATCTCTTTCCCAGAATTAGCAGCCTTGATATTTCGAGTTCCAGATATTGGGGAAGGCAAAATATTGCTGGGAATTGCTTTTCTGGTCTTCACGGTTTTCCTGCCACCTTCTGTTTTTCCCACAAACTTCCTTTCTTGCCACAGTACTTGTTTTTTGCTCTGTAAGGAAGGCTCTTCCCTCTTCCAGTCTGTAAGGAAGGCTCTTCCCTCTGGAAAGCCCAATCAAAACTGGATTTGCATCTTAGTTCCAAGAGGAGAGTCCATCCCAGGGCAGAGAATGCCCTCCAGAGGACCTAGAGAATTTGCTCCCGTTCCCTGTATCCTATGGAAATTCTAGTAATTGAGGTAGTCTGAAGTCAGCGTCCTTTTGCTCCTGTTCACTGCTAGGGCAGTGGGTGCAAAGAGTTGAAGTGGCATCTCCTGGTGGCTAGAAATCTCTCTGAGCTCCATTTGTGATTTTGTATCCAGAAATCCAAATGGCCCATTATGTGGTTGCTAAGTTTTAGAAGGCAAGGTAGATAGACTCAGTTTCGGGGATGACGGGGGCACCGTTGGAAGAGGTGGAGGATCAGGTTGGGGACAGATCGTCATGGAGGAAATCTTTCTAGGTGGTTGCTAAGAGTCGACAACTACTCAATGGCACATAATCAGTCAATCAGGTTTTAGGATTGCTGATAAACCCTGATATTCCAGCAGGCCCTGGGGATAAATATGTAATGAGGCGTCTCTTGCGTTGGGGCGCTAGCAAGAATTTTAATGTTCTTTTTTGTATAAGTGGAAGTAATTATTTTATAATGGTTATAATTGTTATGCCACATTTATGGTTGTCAGGCGTGGAAGCAGCTAGCATCAATTGGAACAGCACATAAGCCCAAGTAAAATAAATAAAAAGTACTTTCAAGATTGTTCCAGCTGCTGGCCTTGCAGGATCATAAACCCTAAGCACTTACTTCATGCTCTAAAGCAAAACCAAAGCAGTCGTTTTCTGGAAGCTGAGACAGCGCTCTCGAGCCAGTCCTGCCACAAAAGGCGGTGGATGTGCCTCCTTTCAGAGAGCTTGCTCAGGGAAAGCGCCCCAGCAGGCAGTGTTTACTGCAGTGTGTGGATTGTGCCACAGAAAGGCTGGGTGTGAGTAAACACTCCTTTTCCTGGCAAGATTTTCCCATGGTGCTTTTTTTTTTTTAATGTGTTTTGCATTTCTTATAATCATGGATGGATTAGAAACAACCCCAAGGTTTGATTTGGTTCTTTGCTTAATTGCTTTTTGTTCTAGTAAATCTCTCCTGCAGAGAAGGTTCTACAGAAATAAGTTGGCCTGACTTCCTCCTTTTTGAGAAGTGGCTCTCTTCTTTCTTAGAGCAGCTATCTAAAACAAACAAGCCCACCTCTGTGCTTGTCTGTGACCATAATAAAGATAAGATATGGGGGGGGGGGTTGTTTGTTTGTTTTTTGTTCTGCCTGCATTTTTGATTGTTTTAACTCAATATTAGATTTTGTAAGCTGCCTAGAGTCTGCTGGAGTGGGCGGCTGCAATACATTTAATGAAATAAATAAATAAATGATTTTAAGCTTATCTTTCTTTCTGGAATGGCAGTAAGAGGGCGAGGAGGTCTGAGAAGCACTTGGCATGGGATACGCAACCCTGGTTGACTTGTGTGAGGATCCGTCACTCTGAGCCATAACACGCTGGGTTTGATTCTGGTTGCATGTGTTTTAACCCAGCCATTGTGGCTGTAAACCAGGTTTTATGGTGTGGTATGATGTATAAACCTCACCTCTGGTGAATGTTTGTGCAAGTCCCACTTCGCTTCATGCTCTCTTCCCCACCCTGCTGCTAAGATGACTAGGCTAGCTACAAGGTTATCAGGGTCTTTCCCATCTGGAGAACATCAGATTTGGGGAGCTGTTCTGAGAGAAGGAGGAGCCACTAGACACTCACATCTCCAACTCAGAACCCTCACATCCTGTTCTGACCATATCCTTTCTTCCTTCCCCAGGTCTGTAAGTACTAGCAAGCTGTCAGATCAACCAGCAAAGGCTGCCCTTAGCAGCCAACTCTACCAGGGCAGCACTGACAGCCTTAATACTGAGCGGCCAATGGATACAGGTAAGAGGGGTGCAAGTTGCTTTGTCCTGCCTGGGATGGGGAATAGGGATGATAATAAGATACCTGGCCTATAAAGAGGGGGAAACAAGGAAGTGTGCCTGTGTATACAGGCACCCCTGCCAACTGAGGTTGATGTCACAGCCATAATGAAATGTCTGGCTTTGAAATCTGTCCCTCCTGTCAGCTTGCTTCAAAATTCACCTTTCTCCAACTGGCCACCTCCAGATGTATTGAGATTTTCAATTCCCAGAGTTCCCAAGGATGGGAATTGATGCCCAAGGCGGTTGTGGGAGCCCCAGATTGGAGAAAACGGAAGCATTTCTCTTTTCCAAAAGAGTCGCTTTACAATTTGGTAGGGCTTCCAGGAGCCCAGACTGTGTTATGCTAAAATCCAGATTTGACCTAAAGGCTGGTTTTAAAGGGGGGAAATGGAGGGGGCTGTTTGGGAGTGTAGAGGAAGAATCGGTAAGACGTGCTCTTGAGAAATAGCTAAAGTTCAGACTTGTAGCTGATGGCCTAGATTCTGCATATACCAGGCTTTTCCTGAGATCTAACACAATAATCTTCCCTCCCCAGCTCCCCCAGGGGCCTGTGGCATCACAGGAGGACCTCCGTCCATGCCAGTTGGAGCCAGTTCCCGGGCAGTGATGTTCACTGTAGGATCCCCTCCAAATAGTGCCACACCTCCGACTTGCACCCATATGGTTCTCAGAGCTCGGACAATGTCAGGTGAGGAGGCGACTCCTTCAGGGGCAAAGGGCCTTGGACAGAGTCTGGCTGGGGTGCAAGGAGAGTGGCCAGACGGTCTTTCCGTCTCAAAGGCACTCCCTGCTCTTCAAGGAGATTGAAACTAGAGAAGAGGGACTTGAGAATGGGTCGGGGCAGAAAGAAGCAGCAAGAAGTGAGGGCCCAGGAGAGTAAACACTCTTGCAGTTGATAACCTGCTTCCTTGCACATCCAACATTTTTCAGGCTGTTTCCCTAGCTCAGGCAAGAGGTCCTACGTGGCAGATGCAACACTGATTTCATCAGTTCTATTGCAAGTACTATTTATAGATAGCCAGATGGCACCATCCACTGCTAGGAGTTGGGAGAAGCAGTCACCTGGGGAGAATCCCAGAGTCGGGAGAAGGATGAAATAGATTTTGGAGGTGGAATCTTGAAGGGATTCAGCATCATTGGTTGCCAAGGAAAACTGAATGTCTCATTTTTTGTGGTGGGGGGGGCGTCCTGGCAGAACTCCATTTTGCAGTGTTTTTGTGAAGCAGAGTTGGCATTTTTTCAGGAACTCTGTGTCCCCATTCCTCCCATTTTAAGAGTGAACTGGATCTCCCAGTGCTGGGCTATTTCTATCATTTTCTGGACACAGTTCAGAGGTGAAAGAACCAAATTGAAACATCTTGTTTTCAGATCAGTTTTTTTTTCTTCCTGCAGCCAGTTGTCTTAGAAACTGCCCGTGAACCAAATTTCTGCTTCCTGTCTATCAGCAGAAATGCAGTACCTCTTCTGAGAGTCCCCTGTGGGATTGATGAAGGGAGGCCTTGCATTCTTATTGTCACATTTTATGTGACTTCTCACCAGGACAGCTAAGGGTGGTGGTGGTAGTGAAATTCCTTATGGTCTCTCCCACTTGGCTATTCATTTTAAACCAGATTTCTCCAAGCTGGTTCCTGATGTGATGGGGCTACAGATCCTCACCCTCACAGGGCATCAAATTGGGAAGACTATTTTAAGCTCACACAGTCCTGAGTGTGTGTATATGTGTATGTGTGATGTCTTTTTTTCATTCCCGCCTTTTAGTTGGCTCTAACAGTTCTGGAGGCTCCCTCTGCTCTACCAGTGGCCGTGTCCTGATGGGCTCTCCCCCTGGGATTTACATGGGCTCCTCTCCCCCTGGAGCTGAGGCAGCTCCTTGCTTGAAGTACATGCCTTACGGTGCGTCACCTCCCAGCTTTGAAGCTCCAGAATTGCCTGAGGAAACTTTGATGGAGGTATGGGGTTGGGGGAGACATTACTGATGCAAGGTTAATTGTGTAATCATTCATCTTATCACTTTTTTAAATTATACATTTACATTTCTATACAGGTAGTCCTCAACTTATGACTATTTGTTCAGCGACTTTTCAAAGTTACAACAGTGCTGAACGAAGGGACTTAGGACCCTTGCTCAAAGTTATGGCCGTTGCAGCACCCCCACAGTCACATGATCAAAATTCAGGCACTTGGCAGCCTGCCCGCACTTATGCCTGCAGGGACACTTCAACTCCCTCCATCTGCCTATCTCCCCCCCCCATCTATGCCCTTTTGGCCACCCTGCACCCTGCCTTGCAGGACGGCAAGCAGCCCTAGAACCATGCAGCTCTAGGGGTGCAAGAAGCCCCTGAGCCGCAGCATAGCACGAAGTTGACTTTGGAGAGCCTTCAGAAAGCTGCGCAGCTTTCCAAAGGCTCAGGGAGCCATGTGGAGGAAAAGTTCGCCAGAGAAGCTGCATCCAAAAAGGAGACAGCAAAGGCAGCGAGGCACTTCTGATTCAGCCACGGGGGCTGAGTGCAAAAGGCAAAAGGTTGTTGCAGGGTACAGCTGGGCAAACATGTGCTTCCTGGGGCAGTTTCATGTGGTTGGGCTAGGGCGGCTGCAGCTTTGTGCTGTGCTACAGCTCAGTGCTTTCTTGCAGCCCCAGAGCCGCGTGGTTTTGGGGCTGCTTGCCACCCTGCAAGGCAGTGCAGGGTGGCCAAAAGGGCAGAGATGAGGGGGGAGATAGGTGGGTGGGGGGAGTTGGAGGCAGTCCTTTACCTTACTGAGACTCAGAGCTGGGAAGGACCAAGCCTGGAATGTCTTGGATTGGGGTGGGTCCTCAGCTAACGACCGGTGAAATTTGCTTAACAAAGGCAAGGAGAATTGTCAGGATTGCAGTCGCTAAGCAGTGCAGTCACGTGACGTCTCACTTAGCTTAGCGACAGAAATTCTGATCTCAATTGTGGTTGTAAGTTGAGGACTACTTGTACCAGCCTTCTTCTAACAAATTCCTCCATTTCTTATTTTCTAAACAACTTTGCAAAGTTTGTTAAGCAGAGAGTTTCATAGCTGGCAGAGAGTAGGACCCAGGTCTCCCAGGCTGTGGTATGGCTGGCTGTGGATGATGGGAGCTTCTGAAAGCATCAAGTTGGGAAACAGTGCTCTTGTTTTAACCCTACAGCTGTTGGGCCCTGTGCAGCTTTTTCTGCATGAGGAGCCATGTTCCAAAATTTGGTGGGTGTAGCCCAGGACAAAAACTAAAGTGAGTTTCAGTATGTTGACCTTGGCATTTTGATTAATTAAAGACAGCTAACTTCTTTGTGGCCCAGTCAAGTATTTAGTCATTTTTCCACTCTGTCATGTTAAAGGCTACAATCTGGTAACAATTTCAGCGGGTCTCTGGGGCTACACCCAAAGCTTTTGGAGGCTTTATATATTGCCCTGGCACTTCTCAGGTAGAGGATTCCAGACTCTCTGGAGTTTCCTTTCGGTTGGTATCCAAAACTACCTATTGGTGCAAAGCTGTTGAGGGGCTAGAAAGAGGTTTACTTTCCTGCTTTTAGTTTTCTTCATTTGGCTTTACTGATAAATAACACCATTTACTTAGAGATTTAAAAATATATCCTACCAAGCCCCAAGGAATTGCGGAGCCTCTGCCAGTACCCATTTGTAGCAAAATTAATTTGGGGTGTGCAGAGACTGCAAGGCATGCCATTTCCCAGAAGTAGGGGAGATGCGGCAAGGAGCATAGCCTTGCCCCTAGTCCTGATAAGCACTGGGAACATGTGCTTGTTTGTCAGTGGAAGGTTCAGAAAAGAGATTCTTCTCCCCATCAGTCAGCAGGTAATAACAGAGTATAACTACATTAAAAGACTCTGTCCAGAGCATTAATAACACCTCCTTACTGTATTACGCCTTTGAAGTAGGTAGAAGGTCTTAAGACCCTTTCTGAATCTGGGGATTTGGGGCAACTCCCTCCTAGTTGTGGATATATCTTTGTTTTGGCAAGGAGAACAGAGAGGGGGAGGTGGGTGGCCAACTATAGACATGCTTGAAGGAAGCCACTTATTTAGATCTGACACAGCCTGGGTTGACCTGCTTGAGGACAGTCACCTGGAGCAGGTTAGGAGAGTCCCATTTGGTTTGCTGTTTTAGATGTCATAGCGGCATTTGACCCTGTTCTCCACAGTGTCTTGCTGGAACTCCTCCGTGGCTTGAGAAATGGGGACTCTGTGTTATGGTGATGCCATTCCTACTTACAGGACTCTGGTGAAAAGCCGTGGCACATGGACCTCTGGTGGCAGGGTGCTTCCAGCCTACACCATTACAAAACTGCAGTGAGCCATCATCCAGATATTGGGGGCATGGTGTCCTCAGAATAATACTCCTCTCGTTTCTGTCTGATTCAAGAGAGGCTGTGCTGATGCTGGACAGTTCCCCAAAATTGGTGGCCTATGAGCTGCAGGCCCCAGTTTGAGATGCTAGCAAAAAACAGTGGGATGGTTTCCCATCCATGTATTAATCGGGCCCTGTTGTTGTTTAGTCATTAAGTCGTGTCCGACTCT